ATATCGGATGGTGATTAGGATGACGACTTATTTAATTTATCTCATGATTCCAGTTTACCTAAATATGATTTTTTTACTATAATGTTTTATGTCTAATCGAACCAACTTAGGTCTAACGCTACGGTATGTTACAATTCAGTTTTTTAATAGTTATCTATAACTTTTAGATGTATTTTTTTCTTGCATGCTATTATGTGTAAATTCTAACAGTTTTGTATTTTCTTTGTCAAAATTCATAAGAAAAATTTATGAAAATCGAATAATCAATTACTGTAATTTTTTTTCTTTATATCCTTTATTAACTTTACCGTCAGGTGTGATGAAAGCAATAGATATTTTTTAAAATAAAAGTTAATTGAAAAAAATCGAAGCAATTTATTAAAAATAAATAAAATATCTTTGAAATTGCGATAATATCATATCAGATTGGCGATAAAGCAATGGATAATGTTTAAAATAACCGGGGGATAAATCGCGATTTATCGTAATAATCGCTAAAAATATCATTAAAAATCGGCGATTAATCGCGTTTCAGCTCACGATTATCGTTTCGATATATCGCGATTAATCAGCAATTTTTCAGCGATTTTTACAACATGGGTACTAAGAGTTCCTATTCGACAAAAAGAATTGAAATAATAATTTCAAAGAAATATGTTCATGAGAATATCTTTGATTTGTTTTTAAAGAGAAAAAAATGGCAAAAAAAATAAGATTATCTGCTAGTGTAAAAAATGAAATGAAACAAAAAGCAAAACAATGAATATAAAAATATAATCATGAAAATCAATGAGTTTATTGTAAAGCACGTCTCGAATCGTTTTTCATAGCCATATCTTCTGGTGGAATAGCTTTACCATATTGTAAATCACGTTCATACATCTACATTAATTTTTATTAATCACATTCGAATATCTGACGTTAATTGAGACCATTCAAAACGCCATGACTAATTTTGTGGATCATTATGTTCAATATCAGATGCTATGAAGAATCAATAAAAAAATGCATTATTTTCATAATCATATAATTACTTTTTTCACCTGCTCGACATAATATAACAAAACAGAATGTGATTAAAATCAGACATAGAACCAACATTTGCTGATGTACTCTATTTGTTTTCTTTTTGCTTCTATTAGAAATAATTGTCGAACGTGTTAGACAATCAGTTTTATATTGAGAGATCGATTGAAACAAGATTTACCAATCGTCACAAATGAAGATCAATTTGATACCTCTGAATGAGATCATAACTATCATAATTATGTTTTTTGACGATGAAAAATAATTATAGACTGATTTTTTTATTTGAGAAAACTTTCAAATAATTCAACCATATCAAAAAAAATTTCTAAGGGATATTTATTGGCGATAAGTCAACAAGGAAACAAATGAGAATATATTTACATTTTGATATATTAGCTGAAAAAAGTTTGTATGATAAATATTTCTGGTTTTTATATTATGTAATAATATAAATTACCTATCTCTAGCTCATTTGCTCTTGTTGGAATATTTAAAAGATCTTGCATTTGAATAATTGCTCCATTTGAAGCTGAGTGTAAAATAATTTGTATAAAATACCAACAAATATATTTATCAACATGTTTTCAAGTTTTAAAGCATTAATTAATACTTGATCACCTTCAATTGGGCAACGAATATATTCAATAAATTGACGTTTTTCTTTTTCGGATGCTTTTCCTGTTCACCATTGTAATGTTGTTGGATTGCCATGAGTTCCTGCATTATTTATTATAAGTTTTGATTACAAAAAGACAAATTTAAATTGTCCTAAATATTTTGTTTTCCTTGAAAATGTATTTATTCAGCTTGAATTAAATCTTTTCAATGAAAGAATAACTTTAAACAAAATATTTGAAAAAGAGAAAATTTCTTTAAAAATCATTCAATAAGCTCTCGAATATATGAATTAGTGCATCAGTAAATATAGATTATATAACATGTTTTATATGAAAATTTTATTGAAAAATACTGCAGCTCGTTTGCGTCTAACATGTGAACCTCACATGTGTGCTTTATTTTTCTTGTGTCAATACAAAATATGTAAGGTGAAAAGTCTCTAGCAAACTACAGTTATTTTTCAAGGATAAACAACCTCTCTTATTTATCTCTATATTTCGAATAGATATTTTTTCTTCTTTTGTTTTACTGACACTCCATGTATCATTGCTTTGTTGTTGTTCGCTATTTATTTTCTTTTTGTACTCAGTTTTTCTTAGCTTAATATTGTCGCTATTTATATAGCTCGATAAACTCAGACATTGATATTGTTCATTATCCAAGATTATAACTTGATTAGTTCATGCTTGCAATGCTGATCATGAGACGACTATGACATATCAATACATCACTACCCATTATCCTTGACATTTATCGTACGATTTGTTGTGTGTGGAAAAATAAAAAAAACTGCGAGCTTTTAGAGAATAACCACAAACGTTTTTCAGTCATTTACAGCAGTATCTAGGATTCAAAAATTCGCAACTTTGATTTCGTCAATTGCTTGATTTTCTTGATTTCCATGAATTTCCAGAATTCCATCATAGATTAGACTTATAACTCCCTTTCTCCTGAATCTTTGATGAATTCCTCGAATTTCCTTGAATTTCTTGAGTTGCTTGATTGCGTTGATTTCCTTGTATTCCATTGTAGTTTAGACTTCTAATTCACTATGCTACGCATCTTTGCTGTATTCCTTGAATTGCGAATTTCTGGATCCTAGGTATATATCATTACTACCGTATATTTTTCATTATGCCGTAGCTTCATTTCAGGAACCCAATAAGAGCTATCAAAAGATCTCTCAAACTTCCACAATAATCTATTCTTGTTAGAGCTTGTCTGTCTGCAAAATTTCAAGTCGAATTTTGAAACTCAGTTTTCTTGGCGTTCTTGAGGAGGAGAACCGCAGCATTGACCTAAAAAAATAGTATAAAAATGCAATATCTCGGCAGTAATAAACAGCTAGGCCAAAATCGTTTCATGACATTCATAACTCACTAAGATCTAGATGATCCATATTTGTACCGACTTGAATGTGATTCAGCAGTTGAGGATATTTCTTCGTCGGCTTCATTATAATAATACACAAAATACGTTATCTGAAATTTCTTTAATAAGAATTCATTGCTTCCCAAGATTTCTATTAATACTCTATCTTTTAATTCTCTTGTTGGTAAGGTATCGTCTGCCTATGTCGGCAATAGAGTAGAGAGAAAGAATGTATTGATTGTTCTTGGAATTCAATTGCCATGATTGAAGAAAACTCCGTTCTTAAATTTGCACTCAATATTTTTCTTCGGAAAAGATATTTTAATTCCACAAATATTCAATTATATTCTTTATTGTCTAATATTAAAAATGATAAATTAATTGAGAAATGTTTTTATTTTGAATTTATATTTCCAATGAAATAAGCTCTAGTTTGATATTAGATCAATTGATTGGGAAAAAACTTTCTTTTATAAAAAAATTTCCGTTTCAATTAAATTACGGTGTTTTAACCTGATGTGCTTTTGAAATTTTTTATTTTTGTGTTTTAATATCAACCAGTACAACATAATGTGATTCTAGACCACGAAAATGATCAATTCGAAGTAAATCAACAGTTGAAAATGCTCTACACAAACGTTTTATCCACCAATCGAATAAATCTTTTCTAACATTTTTATTATTCCAAAGATAGATTGGCATATACCAATTTTGTACTTTAGTTGAACTATGATCAGGTGGACAACCTGTCAAGTAATAACAGATTGATATGTTATTTAATACTATATAATACATAGAAATTATTTATATTGCGAATGTTTTACAACAAAATTTTCTTTCATTTAAAAATACATTAATTGTATGACGTAATTATTTTTAGCATTACCACGATTTCATTAATACTTATGAATAAATATAGTTAATAAAAGGCTTGTCAGCGCAGCCTATTTAGGGCTAAAACATGAAGCCCACATGTGCTCTTGCGCTTCTTTATACTAATACAAAATACATTAAGTGAAAATTCTCTAGCAAACTATAGTTATTTTCCAAGGGTAATCGATCATCAGGAAATTGACCTGTCTTATGTATTGCTGTATTTCGAACAACATTTTTGTTTTTAACTAGTGCTCATTGATTTTTCTTTTTCATAGTCTGCTTTTTTCTTAATTCAACTCTATTATTATTATTCTAATCATCAATTTAACTAGCAAATAAGCCTGTTGCACATATTCGTTATAGCTGTAGAGCTGCTCTTAACACATTATTATATATCTTGATTAATTCACACTGTTTATATTGATCATGTGACGATTGTGGCAAATCATTGCATTGCTACCCATCATTCTTGACATCTTGAATTTAAATCGTCATCTGTGCAGAAGTCAAGTGTTTTCATCGAAAAACATAATGTGAGTTCTACAATCAAAAATACCTGCTACAACAGTCAGTTTCATGATATCATCATGATCTAATTGAAATATATGAAAATTTGACCAAACATCAGCTGAATCATAATCAACATAGATAGGCATATCACCAATTATTTTTACTTTAGAATCATTTGCATATTTTTTACATTCCTTCCATCGTTGATCAAATATATATATTGAACAAATAAATAGTATTCTACACGATCTTTTTCAAGTTCGCGAATCATTTGTAAAGCAGTGTGTTCACGACGGCGTAAAGGTTCAGGCGAATCAGACTATGTACTATTTTTATACTAAATAAACAATTTATTTATTCGGCTTTGCTTTTAATTAAGATAATAGTTTTCTTATAACTACATGATAGAAAAAGATGACTTAGAATAACAATTTTTTTAAACATTTTTCTATTAAGATTAAAATTTATTTCATGTTAAGAATATATTTAAGTTAATTCTCTTTGATAAATTTTATTCAATGAATGAATTAGAAATCTATGGAGTAGCTGAAAAGTCATCCTTTTCTGCCTTGTATACAGAGAAATATGATTATTGAATTAACGGAGACCGAAACGCTAGTTTACGGTCTAAATATTGCTTCATACTTCCCTGTATATGATCACAGATAATATAAGATTGTGATATTTAGCTACGTGAACGTTTATAAAAGAGTCATCTAAAACACAGTATGATTGTTTTCGATTGTATCGAGATTTTCTGCTGCTTTTTTTTGTGGACATAAGTCAAAAGTACTATTCTAATTTTCTTAAAAATAAATGAAATGAATCAAGACAATTTCAAAATAGAAAATTTGAACACAATTACTCATTATAAAGAACTGGTTAGATTCTTAGAAAAGAAGATCATTATTGTCAGAAGGCTGGAAAAATCGACAATTCTAATAATCCTTTGTCCCTGCAAATGATAAAACAAGGTCGATGCAATATCGAAACATGTATGTCTATAATGATTGATAAATATGTGTTCTAAAATGATTTCCTCATATTTTTCTTCAGTTAGTTCTAATAACTTTCTATTTCTTCGACTATTTTGAATTTTATTCTGTACTCACGATTCAACCGACTAATTATACTAAAACCCAAGCAATGTCGTCTGTCCCTGCCATCAACTATTCGAATACCCTGTCGGTTCTTCAATTCGAGAACGATACAATGGACTGGAATTCTATATTCAAATACTTAGGATATGTAAGTTGGAGTAATGATATTGGTCGGACATGCTTGCGAATGTGCTAGCAAACAGTACTGATACACTCAGTCAGATATAGTAGATCTTCCTCGGTGAAACTTCAACGTGCTTCCTTTTTTCACTTGGCTACTAGTTCGTTATGCTTTGTTCATCAACTGCCAACGATTGAAACTTGACCCCTATTACTATAGTTCGCTAAAATATGTATATTGTTACCTTTGATGGGAGGATTTTGTTCTTTGCTTCTATCTATGATGAAGGACCACTTGATGATGTGAACTACGCCTACTAGGAAAATATTGTAAAGCATCAGCAAAATCGGTTGATGGTTATCTTCTGCTAGAGTAAACATCGCTGAACACTCACAAGGCTTTATGGCAGGAAGATAGAACATGATTTTGCTGTCTTCGCAGATTAAAACATTTTGTTCCACAAACCAATATGTTTAATAGAGCGATAATGTGAATGTCATCTCATAGCATGACATTTCATTTTAATTCTCAATGAAAGAGATTTTCTATGCGTTGCAGAGTTCTCAGGAATGTTCTAATCTGCTTATGTTCGTTCTTTTTTTATTTCTCCACTTCTTCATTTTGCTTTCTAAGTAAAAGAAATTCTAGTAACTACTCTAAGATTTAATATCAAACGAGATAAATGCTTTTTGGGAAAACTGTCTTTGAATCTACAAAATAACGTTCTTAAATAAAAGTAGAATAAAATAATTGAATGATTAACTCGAGTGATAAAGAATATCATTCATAATCTTACTTTTTATTTGATTGTTATAAATAATATGAAATTATCAATCCAATCTTTTTCACGTTGAAAAAAGGCATTTAAAATTTCTGAAGCTTATTCATTATTACTTTTAAAATTAAGATATGTTTTTTCTACTAATTGCTCTTTAGTCTTTTTTACTTCATTAAAATTAGCATACGAATTGTTAAATTTTGATCGATCAATTGATATTAAATCATCTTTTGATATAAAAGTGTTTTGTAATAATTTATCTGGTGATATTAACCACGAATGACCTGCAAATGCTGATACATCTATTGAAAGAAAAATATATAATAATAAAAAATTATCTTTTATCAAATAGAAATATTAAAAAATCAAAATGTACTTTGAATTTTGTTAAATAAATATTTGAAACAGAATTAAACAAATGTAGAACAACGAATGGAATGTTTTGAATGAATTTTTAAAGTAAAAACTATAAAATGTTTTTTTTTGTAAATTTCTATACAGAACGAAAATATCGTTACAATCGAACTTGTAATATTTAGTTTGCGTTCCAATCCTTGTAGATTAATTTCTTCAACCTTCGCCACTTCAAACCAAGATCTCGAAACTAGGATATGACATTGAGCTGAAACTTTGTACACGTATATTAGTGGTATATAGCTATGCACAGAAAAAAAAAGTTCATTCATATATCTTTTTCTTGACGGGCACTGAGACAATTTTATTATACGTAAAATATCCATTTTGGAGAGCCTCTGATATCTTCAACAACATTTGACCATCTTGACCAAAAGAGTCAGATTTTTTATTTTTATGATTTTCTTCTTCCTTTACTTTCAAGACAGACATGAAGCCAAATCTTGTCAATACAACTGACATTTTATAAAAACAACCAAATTTTGATAGACAGAGACAATTTTTTTTTGACTAGAGTCTATTTTTGAAAAAGTGCCACGAGAGTCTCTAACTCTAAACATAAGCGTTCGTACTTAATGTCTTAGCCTGATCCAAAACATCGTTAGAGATGCATTGTCAAGCCAACATTCTAAGAAAAACGCTAAAAAAATTTTTCAAATATTTTCTGCAAACCTACCCCACACCCACCCACATCCTCTGGTTAAGATCTGGGTGAGAGTGGTCTGATAAAAGTGATATTTGATTCTTTTGTATAAGATCTTTTGAAGAAAATGGGTCGGAGTGGGGTCTTATGAGTGGAGAATTTGATGCTCTATTGATTGATACTATCTTCAAATGAAACGGCGGTCAGAGTGGATGAGAGCGTATTTTACTAATACCCGGAAAATAGTGCTGTTTGTTTATCTGTCTGTATTCTTCACTTAATTTTATAAGTTTATTTCTACCCAGTAATTTATCTTTTTCAATTATTGACATGTCATTATAAAACAAATAAAGCACAGTAGATGATTGGGTGATTATAAAAATTAAATTGCTAACTATAATTGAGTTAAACTAATGAAAAAAAAATGGTAAGTGCACACACATTAAGCGTGCAAAGCTTGTACACTCACACAAAAGAAAAGAAAAAAATCAGTTACTTGCTACTTGTGAACAGGGGAAAAAGATGAACATGTTTTTAAAAAAGTGACCGTTTTAACTTATTTGTTGGTAATGACAATCTCTTTTCTTTCATCTATCTGTTTTCACCATTGCACTAACATACGCTAGTAAGTTGATGGGAAAAAGTAGATGAAAGAAAAGTTACTATCGTTAGCAAAAAATAAGTTAGAATAACCAGTTTTTGATCCGTCTCGATTGCAAACATGGAAATCTTGTTTAAGACTTATTAAGAGTGATTTCGAACATCTTCCGGAGACATTTATGAGAATTATTCGACGAATCCACTGTCTAAAAATATGTGCACTGTTTGGAAGTAATAAAAAAAGTCTTGAGTACGCCAATGAACTTGAAAAAGACACCAGCAGAGATCATTGGATCATTGCTACTCAATATTTTGTATAGAATTTCTGGAGAACGTTCGTATACGCGATATAGCTCAAGTAGACCTTGCCCATCAATACCTTTTAATGCAGTAAGAAGAGTGTTCAAATTTTGATCAAGAAGAAATTCGATGACATTTTGCTCGTTCCAATTATTGATCTGCTCAATATCGCGATATTCTGTTGTAGGCACTCGATCATTGACTGTCACTTCACTTTTCAATACTGAACATCCCATTTCTGATGGTGTTAACAATGGAAGGTCTAGTTTATTCTTTGCTTTCTGCAATTGTATGTCAGAAAATTCTAAATCGTTTGACCGTTTCAACAATGGTAAGCCGTTACGTTGAAGTTCGACGACAAGGGCTTTATAGGCAGTTTCGAATTCATGTTCATTTGTCCTGGCAAAGTTGACAAAGACTTTATTACCAGCGATAAAACCCAACCATCCATCTGCTGTGTATTTTGGTTCAACAATGAGCGGAACAATTTTCTTTTTACGATTGAACGCATATTCCGCTTCTGCTTTACAATTAGAACTTTTCCTGTAACCACTCGACATGCACATAAGAATGAATTCCGATCTCTCGATGCCTTCTGCCATTCTTTCGATAATTGAACCATGCATTTCGCTTTCATCGACCCAAATACGATATCCATCTTCTCGAAGACGTGAGCAAATTTGGTAACACAGTGATTTATTCGCCCAACAGTAGGAAACCATTATGTGGAAGTTGTTTTCGATGAACTCTGTGGAAATGGCGATGCAGTCAATTACCTCCGTTAGCATTTGAGAATTTGTTAGCATTAGTGGAGGATATATTTCTTGATGTTCACACTTATATTTGAGTTTATCTTCGTCTTCAATCTTCCAAATAATACCCAAAGCTGCTTGTTGAACTTCTGCTTTGCCACTTTGTCGCAATTGTTTAACATGATCGACGAAATTTTTGTATTGTTCTCTCCTTAATTCCTCCTTTCCGTGTGCAGTAAACAGCAAGACATAAATAATCTCAAATGGAACTTCATCATTGGGTGATTCTTCAGCGTACCGTATCAATGGTGATATAATGTTCTGTTGTACAAGTTGCTCGGAGAGAGCATGGTTTTGCACCACACCTGAACAAGAAATGTAAAATAAATATTTAAAAAAGATTCGTTCAATAAAAAATATTTATGAACTAAAAGAATGAATCGGTAAACTAACTTTTCAGTCCATAGAATAATTCTTTTCTTAACTCTTTGTGTTTTTCATCGTCGACATTTTCAACTGTCATACTTTCATCAAACTTCTTGAGAAACAATGTGACGATCTGTCAAAATAGTATATAATAACTGTTAAGATCTTTAAAAAAATCAAAAGACAAACTTGTTTTGTATTGACACTTTGAGAAAGCTCTTCTTCAGGTACAATTAATACAATAAGCTCGAATGCTTGTAATTGCACTGCTTCATTTTGTATATCATTGCTTAGTTGTCGCAGGGTATCAAGTATTTTTGCTAAAGATTCTTTATCTTCACGTAACTCATTGAGTAACTGTGGCTCGGAGCGAGTAATTTCTAGTAGAATTCGAAGAGCAGAATGGACAAGTGACGTCCAGCCAACATCTCCTTCATTTGATTTCGAATTCGTACTGATCAAACCGTGTTTTAGAATTTCAATGCTAATCCATTTGAAAGTATCTTTTTCACTTAATTCAACTGAGTAGATATTAAACGCAATCAATCGTAAGGGTATAATGAGATAGAGCGGCCATAATTCTCTCCATTCACTTAATTCGTGACAAGGGAGCTGTAATAATGTGAAATATGTAGAAAGCATACGTCTGAACATCGACTGAGTATATTTGCCGTTTTCTTTGTCACATTTAAGTACGTAATCGGGACACGTAACAAGTAGGAAATGGCATGTACTATCGAATGGTTGTGTATTGACATATGAAAAACAGTCTCGAGAGAAATTTGATGTAGCACAGTGCATCACGTACTCGACGAGAGGTTTATATCTGCATCGAACAAGAAATTCACAAGAAAGAAAAAAAAGAATCTCTAAATTTAGACTTACTCGTTCTCTGCGTAAGCTTGTATCAAACAATCAAATGAGGCTAGATTAGAATATTCATCTGACTGCGATTGATTTAAATAATAACCATAAGATGAGATATTATTTAGACACTTTTTTATCATGCCAATCAATGTTTTATTATTTTGAAGCTCATTAATCATTAATTTCGACTTTTGTAGGATCAGATTACTTATACGATGGAATACCATCGAATCATCGATATTTAAGATAGTTTGTGAGTCGATCCATTCTTGAAGAATTTGTTCAAGTCGGCGAAATACATGTTGATCAACGGACGGAGGAATGGCATGATTGGAAAGTAAATTTAAGGGTGTTTTAATCAAAGCTTCCAAAACTTTATCCGTAGACGATTCCTCGTTGGAAACACTATTAAGTAAATATTCTAGGACTTGTTTTTCTTCTGCGTCACCCATATGGATACAATATGGATGTATATAAACAAATGACGTTTACTATGATCGCTATTAACTTTTTTTCATGCTTCACTAGCACATGTTTTTACTTTCCTCCTCATTTCGAATCATCACATTTTATTTTTCGGACTTGATCATTGATTGTTGTTGAAACAAAAAAAAGGAACATGAGAAATATGTGAACTGTCAAATGTCGAATAGTGTGAGCTGCTCGAGCCAGCAAGGAAAGAGTTTCTTTCGGATTTATACGACCTCTGTATTCTCAATCTTAGTAGCATCAGTTATCATAGTAGAATTACTCATATTGATTTGCAATCAATTTTGATTAAAGAAAACGCTCGAGAATAGATCCATTTATGTCTTACTGAAATGGTACAATGTTTGGATTTTAGAGATCCTCAAGTAAAAAAAACTGAATGAAGACGAGCGGCATACCCAGTTCGAAATGTCCACAATACCCGTCAGGTCTAGTCTAAAATGTCTTCTGTACCTGTCATGACTAATTAGTTACCTTGACAAGAAATGTCGTGCAACCACGTCTAGAGTAGTCCAGGACATTTATGAACCCTGTTATGTCTAATCCGTTTGGTCATCTACTCTGTACGGACTAGTTTTTAGAACAGAAAAAGAATAAAGAAAGAATACGAAAAGTTAATCTGAACGTTCAACCCGATCATATTCAAATATCGAACGGGTATGCCGACGGCAGACAATAGCGTAGCAATAGACTCACGTCACTTTATATAGTCTAAATGACACAGTAGCTTCTGTCCGTCTGCTAGACAATCAGAAACCAGTCGAAGTCAAGCAATTCTGACTTGTCTAAAACGTATTTTTGGTGCTCAACACTAGTCTAAACTATTATATGTGCTTGCCAAGACTGGTCCATTTTTTTAAAGCGTACCATCAATTTTAATGCAGAATAGTATAAATACTTCAAACAGCTCGTTGTGTTTCGTCTAAACTGTTCTGCTAATTTATTAGATTGATTAGTAATAGAAAGACAAAAAGGTAGAATGTAACGTAAAGAATTTTTCTATATTTGCATTTTTTTCGTGAAATAACTGATGTTACTGATTTCTTTCCTAATTTGAGTGGCAATTAGAAAAGTCTTTAAAAATCAATATTGATATCAAGAATAGATAACATTATTTGTAGATCCGTATTTTGATAATGTCTTATCATATTTTGCACTTTCGTATGTAGAAAACTGCAAAAATATACCGAGCATTAAAAAGTGTGAGAAGGTAAAATGTACAACATGCATTTCTTAGTAAGAAGTGCAAATGAAATATATTTTAATATTTATTACAAGTATAAACTAAAATGAAAATATTTAATTTAAGGATAGCTTAAATATTTCTATATTATAATTACATTTTATTTTATTTAGCTGTAAATTTAATATGCGTACTTGGAGTTTAAGGTTAAATTAAATCAAGATGTCCAGCGTATTTAGTTTCTTTTTGGTTTAAATAAATTTTAACTTCTTTTCGTACTTGAAAGCTTTTTTCAGTGTAATCATAATTACTTCTAATTGATATTAATCAGAAGATACTCCTCAAAAAAAATAAATAAATAAAAAGTTGTTGAATTTATTTTGTTCAGTGTTGTCAACGCAATTTTGTATTTATATGAGAATTTGAAGAAAATTTCGGGTAAAACTGTATTAGGAAGTATCTTAGAATTATTATGAACATCTAGAAGTTAATCTCTTGATCGTATGTCTCAATGGCCTGAATGATGAGCAAGTTATGGATCGTATGCATTTTCGAATCTAACCATCATCCTTACATATTTCAATTTAGACTAGTGCGAACTCGACAACGACATAAGACCACAACTCGTCACGTGCAAATTCATGGAAGCTCTTCTTTTATTTATAATCGTATATTTGATGAGCGTCAGGTCGGTACTACATGTCTAGTCTTTTTCTTAAAAAGACTAGATATAACAGACAGGATAACGTTCATGAGCTAGGTAGTCAAAGCGCGAGCTATGGACTATAATTGATCTCGGATTAGTCATGTACTAGGACTTTTTGAGAAAAAAACAAGTCTTTTTACCTGCCCTTTGCTCATCTGGATTAATAAATATTAATTATTAAGATTTTGATTTAAGCATGATTACAGTTGAAGAGGAGTTCTATTAATTTTTCCTAAATGGTTTTTTACTTAAAGAATATGCAGTTTTTCTTTAATATTGCATACGCACGAAGTCAACTTTTAACAGAAACTCTTGGTTATTTCAGAGTAAATCGAATTACTGAATTTGATGATTCACTTGAAGTGAATCACTTCATTAGACCTAAATCTTTTCTTTTGGTAGTTTTATAACAGAATCTATAATAATGACAAACGAATAGGCGTATACTCGCACGAATTTTCATACTTCTCCCAAAGCAGTCTGCTCTCAGATCGTAGACGAGTTTCAACTTTTTGTTTCGACAGATTTCATCGTCATTTACACACTTGATTACGGTTTTATAGAAATGGTTTTCTTGCTACAATTTAGACATCGAGAAATTCTGAACTTAATTTACAATCAAATGTCATGGCTCTTATTACGGGCAGCATTCTGTAAACTTAATTTTTAGACCTAAAGCTTTGCTTTTTTGAGGTACTCTCTGTCATGTTAGCCATAGTAGTACTTAACAAAAGCAACCAAACGTCGAACAGTAACAGTTGCCAGCAAAAAGTATGTTACATTAATGTTTCTTTTTTTTTCGTTCTAGAATATATCATATGAAAATCTTGTGGATTTATATATACATGTCAATAAAACTATATATTTATATATAGATGTCACTGGTGATAAGTATATCTACTTTTAATTCAAACAGCACAATTCTTTAGCCCATCAGAAAATATACTAGAACACTATATTATACTTGATAATTGGTATAAAAAAATTAGACCTTTGGTTTTAATGATTCAAGTTGTTTCCATTACGATTCAAACTAATGACATGAATCAATTAGAGGCGTTATAAGTTCAGATAGATTCAAGCGATTTATTTATCTTCTACTAATAAAATGTTTCTAAGATGTATCTTTATCATCGTATCAATGACTGAAATGAGCGATGAATTTGAAGCAAGTTATATTCATGGTGTTTCGAATAATTTGAGAATAGTTAAGAGATTTGATAGGTAGAGATATTCAGCTATTTTCACTGTGAAACTTCAACACGAAATGCATTGTAATGCCTCTATCGATACAAAGGC